GCTGTAGTTTCTGGACGATACCACTTACCGCGCGTTTACCAAATTACCGTTGTGACCATGCTCTAAACGGCTTAAATCGAACTTAAGTACTTTCACCCTTTTGACCGGCTGGCCAAGCGTGACGGCTAAGGGAAAGGTGGTGAAGCTGAAAGGATGGCTAACCCCGACACCGGACAACATAGCTATACGGACTGAAAGACACAAGATATACCTGCAAAAGGTACATCGATCCATGAAGCCGTTAAGCGCTCCGAGCAGTGGACCGAATGAAGGACAGACATCAACCCACTTAACCGTAAGCACGCACAGTCGACCCTTTCGCAAATCACAGGTACAAACTGAATCATAGGTATAGACTTACGCTTAAAAGCTGATCAGCACAAGCAAAGTTTAGTTATGCACGCACAGTATGGTAGTTTATCACATGACGGAGAAATATCACCGTTTCGGCCAGTGCTTCGTAGGCCTTTCTTTGAGGTAAAAGTTGAGGAAATGTGTGAGCGTCATTTATTATGGCATCCTCTGCCCCTCTGCCGCAGCCCGTTCATTTTCAACTACAAGGTCACTGCTTCGCGTTGTGTATAATTAAACAATCTTTTCAGTTATTTTTAGGCATTACTGAATGCCAATGCACAGGCAAAATATTCCACCTTTAGAAACTGCTATATTAAAATCTTGTACTTTGCAACTTGCTTCTAGTGCTACCTCAGTTCCGTGAACCGATGGGTACGCGGTACGAAGATTGGCTTGCTAATGCTGGTTTCACTGTGAATGCCGTCAGGTAAAGATTAATAAGACAGTATACCCTGTTTCTGGATTTTTGGAAGTCCTGTTTTAGGATGACTAAAATAGGCTTTTCATTGCTACAGACAAGTTGCTTAAAAAAGAAAAGAATAAGAGATATGTAAGGATTTTCAAGATGAAGAACAAGGAATAAATATGTCCTTTAAAAGGAATGTAAAATAGAGCTAAAGAAAATGAGTGCAAGTAACTTTGAATTTCCTGCCAGACCTTTGCCTCAGAGCAGTGCTATCGACAATAAACGCTCTGTTTACTTGTATTGCAGCCATCAAGGCAAGCAGAAGGATGTTTTTGAGGATGGAAATTTCCTTGCGCACTTCCTCTTTCCCAGAAACTCTATTTTTATTACATTCACAAGTCGTGATTACGATTTAGTTCGTTTCATGAACTTTAAGCCAACCGTTAAATGTCTAAAATTGTTTACGTTATACGGACCACTCAGAACGTCATCCTAAGATATGAACGCAATACAACGGTTTTCCTTCGTCTAACCGTAAAAACGGCATGAAGGAGACACTGCTGGAACTTATTCATAATTATAAGGAGGTATGCTCGTCAATTTACTGACCTCAGCAATTGACCTTCAGTATATCACGCCGGAGTACGATTTATCGTTAGTGGTACCGGCTGTTCAAATAAATGTGTCCAACGTCGACCAGGGTGAACGATCGTTGCCATGTGTCCACTATGTGATCTGTGACCGGTTCTTGTGCATAAATTCTTAGAAGTCGGAATCATTGCTCGGCGTAGAAAATTGATGTCGTTGAGTAGCGCCTAGGTGTTAAGGTCATTTGTTCATGAAAAGTAGAAAAATGAGACGTAGGACCGCTTGTGAGAATCATGTACTCGAACATCTATATCTTGGCGGCAACAGAACTCATACGACAGGTAGAGAGCTGCGAAAATTTGTCCCTCAAAACAGTAATGCATTCGCTGGTAAATGTGACTGACAGAACCTAAGGGAAGGCTGGTTAGGGGTGCATCACTGGCAGCTTCGAAAGTTTG